TCTGCGCCTGTGGGCGCGGAGCAATAAAAGTAAAGAGAAAATCAGCTACATACTTATTATCATGGTTGTAGAAACATTAAGTACAATAATCCAACCTTTTGACCTTAAGTCGGATTTGTTACTAATTGTAAATTGGTGCGTATGTTATTAGTGTTCATCGATGGGTATGTTAGAATAAAGGGTTGAGGGACATATTTTCAATCATAATTTTACTAAAACGTTCGTTTTACATTATCGAATCCCCTGTCAGGACAAATGTTTGTTTTCCTCCTCTTTTTCTGTCATTTTTTTATTAGGTCACCTCTCACAGTGACAGGCTGTTTAATAAAATGGCTGCTCTAGCTATTATTAGAAAACAACAACATCTAAATAACATCTAAACCACTGGTTCAATTTTGAAATGATTTTAAACAAAAATGTCCTTGGTGGCACTGTATAAAAATTGTTCAGATTAAGCTGTCCCTTGTTTTCAAATTGTGCTTTTGAGGTGAAAAAGTGCCCCACTTAAACCTTTTGACCATTTTCTTAGGTTAGCGATCCAGGGCTATCTGGACCACTGGTTGTTGTTTGTTTTGTGTGTGTGTGGGGGGGGGGGGGTCGAGGGAAACGGGGTTCATAAACTTACTGTTATCTGTTTTATTAAAATATAAAAACTACGAGTGAAATATTTCACATGTTCTGAACCAATTCTAGCACGAAAACATGATGATTAACCTTATAGCTTCTTCTACAATGCATTTAAATTTCAAGAATGGTGTTGTTATGGTGTGTTAATAAATACGGAATATCCTTAGGGCCATCGTGACTGTACTTTATCATCCAAAGGGCGACAATGCGATAGTGCTATGACGACAATACCACAGTGCAATGACGACAATGTGATAGTGCGATGACGACATTACGATAATGTGATTACGACTGTGCGATAATGCGATGGCAATAATACGATAGGGCGATAATACAATCGCGTCGTCGCCATCGCGGTATCATACTGTTGCCATCGCACCGTTGTATTATCGCTTTGTTGCTATCACATTTTCGCACTTTAATATATAGCCAAAGTGATTTTAGCTCAACACTTAAAAACTACTCATACAATATCAATGCAATATCACAATGCAACTGTGTGTTTTGATTTTATAGCTCTGATAGGTAGTTTGAAATAATTAAGTCTTTTTTATTCAAATTTGACTGCAAAAGATTTTATTTTAAGATTAGTTATCTGAAAAGGTTAATGCTGCTACAAATAGAGTTAGACTCCTTTGATCAGACTAATGCGAGCTAATTTACTAATTAAATAAGTTAGATTTGCTGACACTTGTCTAATACATAGCTTTTATCTTAATTTCAGATTACACCAGACCTTGTTAATCAAATGAGTGACAGCAATCTTACAAACTACATCCAATTCCATGGTGATCGTCTTAGAGTAAGGGCATATCTTCGGAAGGAAAGAAATCTCCAAACAAGAGGAGAGGAGGGACAAACACTTAAATGTTCTCCAGGGAAAGCTTGAAGAAGCTCGTATGAAAGGAGTTACCGACCAGACAGGCGGAGACACTATGAGAAACCCTCATCGGCCCTATGGTAACAGAAACGCTAGCTAAATGAAATAGGTTGCATTCATTAAAACACACATCGTAGTACACAGGTTCGCAAGAATAAAGGACGTGGAACAAGAAAATTAGAGGTTCCAAAACGGCAACTAAAACAGAGATAATAGAACAAGCAATATCACTTTTTTCCAATGGTATGTCCTCAAAAGGACCGGTGACAGAATTTAACTTTGATCTATGGGATTTTGCAGACCGGACAATTGGGCCGGATGTCACTGTCGCTAATATGTATGAAACAACAAAAATGCCAGTTCTACGATTTTATTTATCAACGACCTATAGAAATAATCCTGAGAATATAAGCAATGAACCCGAGTTAAGACATTCACCTAAAAATCAAACACAACACAAAGTCAATTATCACAGGATCTAACAGTGTTGAAAAATGTTACACGGGACGATAAGGAAGATCATGATTTTACTGATAGGGATATTCTTCATCATGCTATGTAAATTTCTGGTCTGCCAATTACAGATGATGACTCGCTTCCTAGTCTTACTGATCATCATACTGAGGTATCAACAAACTCAAAACATATATCTTTAACACTACATCGCGGTCATTTGTTGAAAGGGTGAATTGAGGCCTTTAAAAACATCAATCCTAGTGAAAACCCTGTGTCCGTCCAAATGATGATGCCGGATGGTGGTTTAGAGGCGGCAGAAGACGGCGGGGGAGTGACAAGGGAGGCTCTGTCCGATTTTTGGACCAATCATTATGATCAGTGTACTGTAGGTACAAAATTTAAAATACCATATCTACGACACGATTTCGCTGAATGTGAGTGGCGTTCAGTAGCAAATATCATTGTACTTGGTTGGGATTCGAGTAGATATTGTCCTATACGCTTGTATTAGCCATTTCTTCAGCTTTGTCTTTTTGAAAAAGTTTTAGATAACACCATGGAGGCTTTCTTTGATATTATTCCGAATTATGAAGTTACCACGTTCAGAAATGCTCTCTCAAACTGGGAATAAGTCGACTATGACGATCTTATAGAAGTACTTGAACTTCACGAATGTAAGATTCGTCCAACTTCACAAATATTTCTAAAATACTAAACGAGATCGCCCATAAGGAAATTATTCGAACACCTATGTTCATCGTTGATTGTTTCCAGCCTATTCTACAACAAATCGACACATTTGAAGAAAACCTTATTCAGCTTTACGCTGATCCGATTCCAAAACCTGAAATTGTAAACATAATTTTAAAATTTCCAGAAAGCATGTGTGCAGAGGAACAAGTCGTCGCAAATCATTTAAGAAGATTCATCAGAGAACTCATCGACGGAATGCTTGGTAAATTCATTCGCTTCTGTACATGTTCAGACCTGATAGTCAGCAAAGAGATAAGTCTCGTTTGTAAACACAAGCAGTTTGGCGAGAAGGTCAATAGCACATGCGTGTTCTTGTCGACAAGTAACTTAAGTTACATCTAAATTTAAATAGTGGGCATAAATGAAGCAAGAGTGTACAAGCAGTCTAAAGAACAGCTAAGTTTTCTAACGCAGCAACGTTTATACATTTGAACGACAAACAATCGCTGTTGATGTATGCACGGTTTGTACCGTGTATGTATACAGCAAACAACTTATACAGCTTACGATCAACTGTATTCGTCAGCTATACTTTGAATATGTACATCGATTATCAAAAAAGTTTTATGTCTTAACGTAGACGACTAATTAAAAAAATATAACAATATCCTATATGTTTTTTTATTTGGCAGGGATATTGATCATAACCAGAAAATGTCCCCTTGTGGTTTTCAGGTCAGTAGGTCAAAGGCCATGCTCCCTCTGTCTGCGCCGCTTAAATAAAATAGCTCCGCTGTAATCCGTTGTTTAGAGTTTACAATAGTTTCAAAATAAAAAGAAATATAAGAGACCTTGTTTAAAATACAACAGATAAATGTTGTTTATTGGTACTTTTCTGTACTTAAAAACTTTCCGTTTATAATTTATCGTTTGGTTTTTGAACGGAACTCATTTCCGCTGGAAACTTCTTTGTAAAAGTAAACAAAACGTGTTTCGTCAAGGAATTCCAATTATGTGTGAGTAACTGTTGTTTAGAGGTTATAAATAACGTATAACTTCTTTGACAGTATAACTTGAATGAGTTAAACCAGCTCGCAGCAGATATTGCCGTCAACTTATTTATTGTCACTAGTTTCCGCGAGTTTGGGTAAGACTTAATTGTTAGAGTTATTTTTGATTTTATAGAACAATCTTATTCATATTTGATAATTTAACGGTGAGAATTGTTCAAAAACTTCAGTTTCATATAAGTGGACGACTTTATATATGATATATAACACTTCCCCTACCTTTGTATCAACTTATCCTCCTAGATAATGTTCAGTTAATGTTTTAATTTATCTTAAAATTATTTTAAGAGAAGCAAAATCCTTAAACAATATAAAGAAACATTTTTTCCAATTAACTAGAATTAAATAACAACTATTATCACAACATGTGGTAAACATAGAACTCTTTATATATATAATCATGTAACTTTAGATAAAAGAGTTTTATACATCTGTCCTCATCACTGGTAGGTCAAGGTCACTTTCAAAAATTATTACAAGTCAATATGATAAATATTTCACACATTCAACAAAAATACTTTAAACAGGAACAGTCTAAAATAGTCCCTAAATGAAGTCTATTTCTTCAATCTTATGAAATAATGTTCACTATGAACACTAAAAGAACTCATATTTACTTAAATTAATAGCTCAGACGACAATCCATTTAAAATATCAACATTATTCAGTTATTTTCAAAATATAATTAATTTCCAAAGGAATAAATTTTCTCAAGCTAAATTCACTAGTTCAAAACAGTCAAGTAATAACTTAACGAATGTATCTACACCTAATTCATTTTCACTTGATACTTGTCACAATAGCACATTTATTTATTACGTATTACACTACAAGTCTTAGTGGTATTTCCAAAACAGCCAATTGCCTCCGCAGCTCTCCCATATTTTTACTAACTCTAAAGTAATGATTTGTGATTTCTCGGCTTCAGATGGATTGTGTCCGTTTGTTATTTCGCTCAGCATTTGATACAGATAAAATCTCGCCCTGGCAGCCCCTTTTTCATTTTCTTCACGTTTAACTTTACCGGATCCTTGCAGCACAAGAAAGTTATATTTGTCTAACAGAAAGCTTCTAGACAGTGTTGGACTTAGAACTATATTCTGCAAATATTCTAGTTGGAAAGCGGTGTGCTCCCAGGCCATAAGTCGACGACGGTTAGGGGCCATTTGTTGCCATTGTTGTGGAGGCCAAGTAAAATCGGAGCCATTAAGATGCATATGAAATTCATTATCCCCTTTCCAATCTCTTCTGCCCGGTGGTACCAGTGTCATAATTCATACTTTCAACAAATCTGATGCTTTCTTACAAAAGTCATTTCCATCTAACTCTGTCAGCTTCTGATCTTCTCTACTCATTTCATCTAGAATTAATTTTGTAGCGCGATATATTTCTTCATCTTTTTCCTTTTCTTCACCTAACATCTTTATTTTGTCATCAATTTCTTTTTCGACTTCTATCATCTTAAACTCCTTTTTAACTTCATTATTCATCTCAACTTTTTCTTCTATCTTCTCTTCATTTATCTCATTTCCATCATCATTTTCATCTCTTATTTTACACACTTTCATTCTATTACCTATAACTTCATTCAATATACCATTGTCACATTTTCCTTCTCCATTAACACTTGAACACCTCTTATTTTCATTATCTTCACCTTCATTACTCATATCATTGACACTATTAACATCATCTTCAACTTTAAAATAATCATCATCATATTTCTTCTCATCACTTTCTTTGAAACACTTCTTTTCTTTATCACTTTCTTTTACACTATTATCATCACATTTCTTCTTCTCATTGACACTTAAACATTTATTTTCTTTATCACTTTCATTTACACTATTATCATCACATTTCTTCCTCTCATTGACACTTAAAAACTTCTTTTCTGTATTACTTTCGTTTACACTTTTATCATCAAATTTCTTCTTCTCATTGACATTTAAACACTACTTTTCTTTATTACACTGATCATCATTTAAACAAACATCGCCATCTTTCCCCTTATCACTTTTTTTCGAACACTTTTTCTTCTCATCACTGCTTTCGTGCGAAACCTTTCTACTTTTTACCACCTCTTTCTCACATAACGCTTCAGCTTTTCTTTTCTCTTTATTCTTTTGATTCATTCTGATTTATTCGACAGATCAAGTGGAACATTTTGTTCTTGTTCAACATTTGTTTCTTTCAATTTTTCTTGGTTTGATTTTTGTTCTTTTATTTCTTTCTTTACTTTATTACATTTGTCAGTTTCTTTATACACTGATTGCACATTTTTCTTTTGACGACTTCGGTTTTGTTTATCTTCAGTATCTTGCTTTAAAGCCACTATCCAGCCTCTCCTCCAATTGTCTCTTTTTACCTGACTATCTGACTGACTCTCCAACATTCTCAAAATTAAGCGTCTTGCCTCATAGGCATTTGAGGAATTCCATCTTTCGGGCTGATGTATCTTGGCATAATCCTGCGGATGTATTGCGAAATAAAACAAGTTCTTGCTGTTAGAAATGACTTCGGCAGAGAATTATATTCAACAAAATGCCTGTTGGAACAATGCACTGAAAGATCAGACACTCTTGTGAAAGTCTTACCATCACCACACCATGGACAAATAACACATTGCCGTCTATGATCTCTTGATACAAGATGTGCATTCAAATCAGATTTGCTTGTAAAGGTTTTTGAGCAAAGCCAGCATTTCTCCATTTTCTGTCATAAAAGATTGATTGATTTATTCTATGAGTAAATTTATTGTTTTGCCTGGACACACAAACTCGACTTGCATATTTGGCTTTGTATCGTGAATGATGAGCTGTTTCTGTTATTGTTAAAGCTTTTTATTGTTATTTATATTATATATTTATATTTATGTTGTTGTTATTGTCTTTTTTTGTTAGTTTTACTCATGTTTGGTTTGTTGTTTTATATTTTTTATATAATTCTTGTTTTGATATTCAGTTTATAAATTTGCTTTTATGTTTTTAGACTCGCGTTTGACCCAAGCTGGTATATTTGTACCCGAATACGGCCATAACCTATCAATATGTTAAGCTTTCGTTTTCTGTTTGGCTGACGTTTTGACAATACAAATTAGATCGTCTAATATTTTTGTTACAAGGATTTGACCTTTCCATTTAAGAACATATACCCTTTTCCTTTGTTGGATTGTGTAACCAAACTAGTTGACCTTTACTGTATTTCTTTAGCTTTGAATTCGAATCGTTATGTTTCTTTTGGTAAACCGCTGCTTTTCCAATGTTAATTCGCGCAACTTCATGATCTTTTTCTTTTTTATCTCTTAGTAGATCAGTATATTCTTCGTATGATTCGTAATTTCTTTCAGCTTTCGGATCACCGACGACATCATTCATAGGTAAAATTATTTCTTTGCCAAAAAACATTTTATTAGGCGAAACATTAGTTGTACTTTGAGGAGTACTACGGTATGCCAGCATTACAAGCGGAAGAAAAGAATCCCAATCAGATTGATTATTTTGGCAATAAGCCGAAAGCATAGAGGCGAGAGTCTTTATGAATCGCTCATACAGTCTCATACTTGTCGTGTAAGTTTTCTCAATACCGAGAATAGCGCAAATTTCAGCAAGTAAACGCGATTCGAAATAACTACCTTGGTCGGTAAACAACTGTAGCGGAACACCAAATTTACATACAAAGTTGCTTCGGCCACTGTTTTAGCCTCTTGATTAGGTAAAGGTACTGATTAAGTCCACTTTGTAAAGAGATCACTTATTACCAAGACATATTTATTGCTGAAGTGGCCCTAAAATATCCATTGCGACACGCTCCATAGGTTCACCCACAATATATTTTCCAAGAGGAACTTTATTTCTGGACCTATTTAAATTCTTTGCGGTACAAATGTCACAATGTTTACAATAAGCTGTAACACTGTCCGTCATTCCTGGCCAATAAAATGATGTCTGAATTTGTTCTAAGGTCTTGTCAAATCCGGGTTGTCCCGAAGTAGGTATGTCTTGGTGATAATACAAAACGTCATTTTGCTTATTCTTTGGTACAATCAACTGTAGTTAAATATCATTTAGGTCATCATGAAACTGACGATACAATACTCCAGCTTTGCCTTCTAGGCGATCCAACTGCCTCCAAAGTGTTTTTAAATGAGCAATTTCTTGAGATACCATTGGCCAATTTGGTGTCTCCAAATTAGCTAATTTTGCTGACAATAAGGGACCAATTACTGGATCTCCAAGTTGATTTTGTTGAATATCTGTATTGTTCAAGTCATCTAATAGGATGTCGTTATGTGTCAGTTCTTGTGTTTGTTTCTTCATCTCTTGTGTTACTCCTTGTAATAGCTCTTATTTCTTTGATTGTTTCAGTTTCATTGTTGTTCTGTTCGTCGTCATATGTCCTATCTATTTTTGCGTCGGTATCTTTAACTTTAACATCATCTTTGATTAATTCAGTGTCATGTTCGGCTTGAATGTTGTCATTTTCTATTTGTTGCTGTCGTGAGTAGACACTGCATGGTCGTCTCGAAAGAGCATCTGCGTTATTATGGCTTTTTCCAGCTCTATGAATTACTTCAAGGTTATATGTGCTTACTTTTTGCAACCATCTAGCAACTTGTCCGGTTGGTGTTTTTAAACTTCTCAACCAACTGACTGCTGAGTTATCTGTTCTCAGAAGAACTTCTTGCCCATAAAGATATGAATGGAAATTCTTTAAAGCCACGACAACTGCCAACAACTCCTTTCTCATGACACAATAGGATTGTTCATGTTTGTTTAATGCTTTACTAATATAAGCTATCAGTCGTTCCTTGTCGTCTTGTTCTTGAGAAAGCACAGCTCCGACTACCATATCGCTACAGTCGGTATCGAAAATAACTTATGCTCAGGTAACGGATAAGCCAAAATTGGAGCGGATGTAAGAGACTCTTTCAGGTTTTCGAAGGCTGATTGACACTCTGGGCTCCAACTGAATTGCGCCTTCTTTTCGCACAATTCATGCAATGGCCTTGATATATTTGCGAAAACCTTGACATATTTTCTATAGAAAGAAGCAAGTCTTAGAAAGCTTCTGACTTATTTACTTTTGGTATGTATGGGCCAATTTTGACTGCTTCAATCTTTGAATCATCGGTGCGAACGCCGTCTTCTGAAATAGTATGACCTAGAAAGGATGTCGACTTTTGGAAGAGGTAGAAACTCAGAAGATTTTAATTTCAGGTTTGAATCTTGAAGCCGCTTAAAGACATTTTCTAGCCTAGTTACACTTTCATCGACTGATCGACCAGGTGTAATAATATCGTCCATGAACAATAGGGACTCGACCCATTATAAACCTCAGAGGACATCTTCCATAAGTCGCTGAAATGTCGAAGGTGCGTTAACTAGTCCGAACGGCATTACTTTGAAGTGGTATAAACCGTTTACTGTAGAGAAAACTGTTTTCAATTTATCTTCTGGATCCATGGCAACCTGCCAAAACCCAGAGCAGAGGTCCATTGTACTAAACTACTTAGCACCTGCAAGAGCATCTAAACAGTCATCTACCCTTGGTATTGGATAGGCATCTTTTACAGTTACTTCATTTAATTTTCTATAGTCCACACAAAACCGAGCCGACCCGTCTTTCTTCGTAACCAATATAATATATGATAAACAAGATCAACAAGGAAAGGCGGTGTTCAATGAACGCAACCCCCATATGACCCAGCAACAAGAACCAATGGCAAGGAGCCCAGGGGGACACCAAACAAAACCAGGACAGGGCAATGACAGAGCACGGACAGGTTAATCATTAAATGATAAATAATTTGAAATTGATTAGGAATTCAAAGAAAATAATAATAGGCCCACAATGGGGAAGGGGACAGGAGACCGGGGGAAGGGGTGGGGGGGGGGGTTAATCAAAGAAATAAAAACTAGAGGCAATGGGGAAGATACTTACCGTAGACGAGAAAACAACAAGGAACACAAGCAAAAGTGTCGCCAAAACAGTATGAAACAACATAGACATACATCTAAGGAACACAGAGGGGCACCGCCTTGGAACGGTCAGCAGCGTAATAATGACTGCTGGGGAGTTTAAACCGGATAATGGTGCACCAAACCTCGCTTTTAGCCCCACCCTGTTCCTTTAAACGAGACAGTGTAAATAAAATGAATCCCGCCAAGTGAAATTCTAACAGTTGTCATGGTTACAAAAATTAAAAAAGTAAAAAAAAATAAAAAAGATCATGTTGAAAAATTAAAGTTTAAAAAAGAACCCTAATAAAAATATCAAAGTTAAAAAGGAAAAACAGAAAACAAAAAAGAAAATCAACCCACAAAGGGGGCCCACGAAACAAGGAGAAGACGAAATAAGACAATTCAGTCCCAAAGGGCTTTACGAACTATCCATCATAGAGTCTCCCACTTGGTCCGTCAGATGCAATCAAAAGAGGAAAGCGTAGTGTCCAACTGTAACTGGGTTGAACACATAACATGCAGTATATCTATCGGCGATGACCAAGGACTATTTGATGGCTCTATTACCCCTTTAGCAATCATTTTTTTCGACCTTTTCCTTCTCACTCTGTCGTTTCGCGAATGGTTGTCGTCTTACGGGTTGCCTGATAGGTTTGAGCATTGCCTGTGTTTATTTTGTGTGTTTACGCGGTCTGTACAGCCTAACTCATCTGTCGAGGAAACAAATATATTTTTATACTTCTCCAACAGCATAGCAAGGTTTCAACTTTGATCAGGATTTAAATGTTCAGAACTTCTATGTAGTAATTCTTGTAAATGACCAGCTAAAGGTGAATCTTTATCAGAGGTATCAGACTTTTCTTGAACATGAGCACAATAATGCATTTCACAGTCAATTTCTTCATTAGATGATTTACACACCCCTATTTCTTTTCCTGGCTGTAAAACTATTGGAATATCTCTTGCATTTATTTACTTATTCCAACCTCTTCACTATTAGGATCAACAATGCCTTCAATGATATAAACTTTAATTCATTTGAATCAGAATTTTTTTTAATTTTTAATTTTTAGCCAGAATTTGCCCCGTTAAACAGTCTGGTATAATACTTTAACAAATTTTAAAGACTTGGGGGGGCTTAATTTTTCCCCAAAAAGTTACTCTTAAAACCTAATGCCCCATTTATTGAAAAATTTAAAACCCGTTTAAAGGGATATAGGGTTCTGTTTAAATTTGGCCCCGGGTTTTAAAATTTTTGTTTAAATTTAAATTTTTTTTCAGGCCCAAAAACATGAAAAATTTAGCCCATTCACACTTTGATTTTAAGATTTGAATTTAGTTAGACTTTTTTTATAAAATTTTATAAAATGTATTTTTTGGGTATTTAAAAAAGCTGTACATACCAACAATCTATTAACAGTGGATACTAATTTCTCTCCCATACATAATAAAGCCATTTGTCAAACTGTGTTCCAGTATTTCCAACTTGACCTATTCTACTATAATCTGTTGGTTCAGTTTTACTATTCTCATCAGATGATTCTTTGATTTCATGAGCTGAGTCATTTAACATTTTTGTTTCAATTGAATTAATAGGTCTAATTTTATCAACAAGCGCCCCCTCTCGACCTACAGAGAAGACGGATTTCCGTTTTCCTACTTGCTTTGCACCTGTGGCCTCTCTTCTCTTCTGTGCTTCTGTGGACAATTTCTGTACAGATGGTCTGGCGACTGACAAATAAAGCAGGTTCTTACCCCATTCTGTGGTGTTTTTTTCTGAGACCTTTCAATTCTGTCTAGCCTAAATCGTATTGCTTTTAGCGTTTCCTGCATTTCATCTTCATTTCTCATGTGCCTATCTCTACCAAAGTTAGTATTTTGTCTGCCAAAATCACTAGAGTATAAGGAATGAAGAAGTTGGAGTAAAACATACCAATTTCTCGAAAAAATCTAAGTTCAAGGGGGACATACTTCTGGAAATAGTCTTGCTAGAGTATTTAACCTTCTGAAAAATGTTGAGTGATAATAAGAAACATATGTATGAAGTTTGAAGTAGATACATTAGGAAATAAAGAAGATATTTAAAAAGACAACATTTTTTTCATAAACATTCTAAGTTCAAGGGAGGTAATACTGATAATGTTTGTGCTAGAGTTGTAAACCTCGTCACATATGATGTTGTTGATGACCAGAAACTTATATCATAAGTTTTAAGTAAACACCTTAAGAAATAAAGAACTTATAGTGAAAAAGCTGAAAAATTTAAATCAGAAATCTTGAAATTCAGGCTTTTTGTTGCCATAGCAACCAGAAATTTCAAAATAGGAAGAAACGAAAAAGATGCGCATAATTTCCAGACTGCCATTTACCCATATTTTAAGTTTCATAAAAATATTTTCAGTACCTTTTGAGTT